GTTGTCACTTATATCTTCTAAAATTTCTAATTAAATAAAAACAAAAATAAGTCAACAAATAACTAAAAGTAGTACATATAAATCTATTTGAATATTTAAAATTACATCAATAAATATATTTGATTATGAGCTTCAGATAACGATAAAATTTTATATATTTAATTTCAAAAAATTTAAATATGTAAAATAAATATACATATAACAACAAATGAATAAAAATATAAAAGACATAAAAAATTAAATAATATTGGTGTCAAACGATTGTTAAAAGGTTTTGATTTAAAGAGAAAAAATATATATTATTTTACTAAAAGGATATTGAACCATTTCACTAAAGATGAGATAATAAGATGAAACTTATTTTTAACAATGTTTCCTAGTTATCTAGGAAAGTGTTTAGAAAGGTCTTCCTAAACAAGTGAAAATCCTTCCTAAACTTATTCTTACGAAAGTTTCCTACTTGTTTAGTAAGACCATCCTAAACAAGTGAAAATCTTTCCTAAACTTATTTTTATGAAGGTTTCCAACTTGTTTAGGAATGTGTTTAGGAAGACCTTCCTAAATAAGTGGAAATCCTTCCTAAACTTATTTCTAGGAAGGTTTCCAACTTGTTTAGGAACGTGTTTAGGAACGTGTTTAGGAAGTCCTTCCTAAACAAGTGAAGATCTTTCCTAAATTTTTTTAAAAAAAAGTTTCTTACTTGTTTAGAAATGTGTTTAGGAAGGTCATCCTAAACAAGTGAATATCCTTCCTAAACTTATTTCTAGGAAGGTTTCCTACTTCTTTAGGAAGGTGTTTATGAAGGCTTTCCTAAACAAGTGAAAATCTTTCCTAATTTTTTTTTAAGAAGGTTTTGTTACTTATTTAGGAAGGTGTTTAGGAAGTCCTTCCTAAACAAGTGAAAATCTTTCCTAAACTTATTTTTTAAAAGTTTTTCTACTCGTTTAGTAAGACCTTCCTAAGCAAGTAAAAATTCTTCCTTAGTTTTTTCAAGAAGGTTTTCTACTTGTTTAAAAATGTGTTTTGGAAGACCTTCCTAAACAAATGAAAATCCTTCATAAACTTATGTTTAAAAAAGTTTTATACTTGTTTAGGAAGGTGTTTAGGAAGGCTTTCCTAAACAAATAAAAATCTTTCCTAATCTTTTTTTAGTGAAAATATATATAGTTTAAGAAAATAACATAAAAGTAAATATTGAATTTACATCAACATAAAAAATGTAATATATGTTAAATCAGACAAAAATATTAATATAAACAAAACGTAAAAGAGTTAATTTTTAATGATAAAATATTAATACATTTAAAATAATACCATAACTTAATTAAATACATACATAAAAACATATATAATTACGTATATATTAGATTTTTCAAATCAGTATAATATATTTTATTTTTGGTTAGTTAAATAACTTTAATAAAATTGTGAAACAAAAACTCGCGCACCGCGCAAGCATATTCTAATATTATCATATATCAAACATAGTTATAGTTTTATATTTTCTTTTTTTTTTATATGAATTCTCATTTATGTTCCATGTATTTAAAAATTCTTCACTAATATGTACTTCTAAATAAAATCACTGGACTAAATAAAATGTGATTTACCTAATTTATTTTTTTATATCATGACCTAAAAATCAATTAGTTTTGTTATATACTTAAAATTTATGTTAAATAATCCGTACGTATGCACCAGTATTTACCTAATTACTTAAAATACCAAACATATAGCATCTCATGAGTCATATATCTATATATAGAATTGGATAAAATTGTTTGTGGTCTAATTGTCTACGTAATATATTATTCATAATTTGTAATGGTACA